ATGGAGAAGGTCAGATCCTAGAACAAGGAATGTTAGAACCAGAAGGGGCCTTAGAGATCATTTAGTTTGCAGTTGTCAAGGTGACTTGCCCAAAGTCACACAGAGTTGTGATAGTTAGGACTAGAATACAGGTGTTCTGACTTGAGCAAGTGAAAGAAGAGGTGAAGCAATTGAGGAATGAGTGCACAGGGTCCTTACCGCCAGGGGAATAATGGAGGCCCTGCCCTTCTTGGTGATGGGCTTCTCCTTCAGACTGGTCAGGAGCAACTTCAGAAGGTCCCGAATGTCACAGCTGGGTTTCCGAAGAATTAGCTGCCTCCACATCTCTGCCCCATTGCTATGAGGGTAGAAAGTCAAATCATGGAGGTAGTGTGAACCTACCAACTTGCCAATGGACTCCAGATAGATGGAAAGGAAAAGGGACAAAAGGGGGAGTGACAATCATTGGAGGTCATTGGAATGGGTTTCTTTGGGAGACAGGTAGTGAGCTCCCTATCACTGAACGTGTTCAAGCAGCAGTTGGGTGACCATTTCTCAGAGAGAGGATACATAAGACAGGGAGTTGGATCAAGTGAACTCTCAAGTCTCTTCAAACTCTAAAATTCCAAAACGTGTATGTTTCTAGGATCCATGATCGGTCAGTGGTCTTCCCAAAGAATAGGAAGTGAGATCATTTAAATACAGGCTACTCTAGTTCTAACCCAATCCCATTCCTGTCTGGTCACTCCTATCACCAGGGATTCAGTGGGAAAGGCAGGAAGGTAAAGCTGGTCCTGACTTAGTCCTCACCATTAATGTTATGAATATTCGATGAGCTATTTTCAAGGATAATAAGTATAGTGGGTCATAATAACTCACATCTACATGGTACTAAATTTAGCTCCTCAAAGTCAGAGGGACAAATTCTAACTGCTGGCTCTGCCACCCAACACCTGCATGACTCAGAACAAGTGGTTTAATCCCAACTGAGCTTCAGTTTTCTTGTCAAATGAGGAGGTTGAATTAGGTGGCTCCTACAGACTCCACCAGATGCAAATCTGGTGATCTGATGGGCTTCTTATGACAACATTTCTGAGACAGAGCTTATTCCTCATTTGATAATTGAGGCAACTGAATCTGAGGAAGGAGAAAACTTAGTTCTTTCAGACAAAGGTTGTAGAGGCACCTCAGGCTGAGGCCTTGCCCCAGCCCCGTTGATTGGTACCTGTCCAGTGGGAGGGGACACATGAGCAGAGCAATGACCACCTCAGTCATGAAGGAACTGGCCAGGAGGGAGATGGGCAAGAGGGCAACTTCCCGGGCTCGTGGTTCATGGATGGAACTTAGATGCATATAGATGCCATTCATGATGTCTGGTATCTGGTGGGAAATGGAAGGGAGAAGTAGAGGAGTGGGGGCAGAAAGAAGAGAGAGGAAGGAAGAGAGAGGAGAAAGGAAACAAGAGAGGGACATAAAGGAAGAGAGGGGAGAGAAAGTAGGAGGGGAAAGAAGAGAGAAGAGAGGAGTGGAAAGAAAGAGAAAGAAAAGCAAAGAAGGAAAGGAAAGGAAGAGAGTACAAGAGAGGATAGAAAATAGAAGAGGGGACAAGAGAGAAGAGAAAGAGTGTAAAGAAATGGAAGAAGAAGAAGAGGAGAGAAGGGAGAAAAAGAGAAGAAAAAGGAAAGAAAAGAGAGAAGGGGGAAGTGAGAGGAACAGAGGAGAAGAGAAGAAAACAGAGAAAAGGAGAAGAGGAAAGGAGACAGGAAGGAAAGAGGAGGAAACAGGAGAATAGGAGAGAAGGAAGAATGGGAAGAAAGGGAAAAGAAGGGGGAAAATGGAGAAAGAGGAAGAGAAACAAAGTGGAGGAAAGGAGAAAAAATAAAGGGAGAAGAAGAATGGAAAGGGACAGAGGGGGAGAAAGAAGGGGAGAAGAGAGGGACAAAGGGGGAAAGAGAGGAAAGAAGAGAGAAGGGGGAATGAGAGGGACAGAAGGGAAGAGAGAGGAGAGAAGAGAAAGAAGATGAGACAAAAGAGAAAAGAATGGAAGCAGAAAAGAGGAGAGGAGGGGGATAAGGATGAAGAGAAATGAGAAGACAGGGGTGGGAAGAACACTCGGGGAGAAAAGAGAGGAGAGGAAGAGACAAAAAACATGTAGGGAAAAGGAAAGGAAGAGGAGAGGAGATTGGGGGGAGGCAATGGGAGAACCGGAGAAAGAGGAGGAAGGATATATAAGGAAAACCAAGGAGAGAAGAAAAAGAAAGAAGGAAAAAGGGGCAAATAAGGTAACAGGGAGAGGAGAGGAGAGTGATGACAGGGAAAAGGAGAAAAGGTCAAAAGGAGCACGGTAAAGGGAGAATGATTAGAAAGGGCAGAAGAGAAGGGGAAGAAAACAAAGAACAAGGAAAGGATGAGAGGAGAACAGCAGAGGCCAGAAGAGAGGTTACTGCACGGTCTCCTCCAGAGAGTAGACCCTGGGCCCCAACCTGAGAGTGATGGCTCCCTTCCCTAGGACAGCTCTCTCCTCCATTGTCCACCCCAGTCTGGATATTACCCGAGGGAAGAGAGGGAAGGGAGAAGGGGCACCCCTGGGGCTCTGCTGTCTTCCAGATGTGCAACCAGGAAATTCTCCTCTCTAATATCCCCATCTCTGCCCCTTTGGTGACCCAAGAGAGCTGTCCAGGGGTCAGATCACCCAAAGATGGGGTACAGGTAGGAATGGAGAGGGTTGGAATTCCCTGCCTCCCTGGATCTAGTACTTTCTCTGGCAGCCTTCTTACCACCTCCAATACCCTGTGTCTATACCACTCCAAAACGGAGCTCAGGGTGACCTCAGAAGCCAATTGCATCATCTCTGCTGTGTCCTTTGAGGGGGTCTCCTGGTCATCCCTCAAACCTTCCAAGGCAGCCAGGAGTAGATCTTTCACTTGTTGGGGTCCAAGAAAGTCTCCAAATTCCTGAAATGCACAGACACATATGCAAAAGGTTAGCCTTATTCCATTTGGCTCCAGTGGGAAAAATTAGACCCAAGGAGTGTATACTGAGAGAAGGCAGATTCCCCACCATGGCATTTTTCATATCTTAGGTATCAAAGAGAGACAGACATTCAGAGCTGAAGCAGCCACATTGGGGGTGGAGTGGGGCGTAAAAACCAGAGCATTTGCTCTCTATCTGGCTGCACATACTCTGGTGATGCAGCCATGACACAAAGGGAAGAAAACCAGAGACAGAGATGCCTGAGGCCGGGGCGCAGTGGGGGGAGGGGGTGGGGGGGAAGGGGAGGGGAAGACAAGACTACTGAAGAAACCAATGAAGAGTGGGGTGCTTTCTTTCCCAGAGCACGGACACCAGGACCATGGAGTGGCATGAAGTGATATGTTTCCCTTCCTTCTTTCCCTCTCCTACTGGCCTTTGGGAACATTTGTACCCAGGGTGACAGTGAAGAGCAGAATGCAGATAACGGAGTGAGTAGCTGAACATTCGACTCTATCAAGAGTGCCTATGCTTTCCCCCACTTAGAGCTTACCATCCTACTTTGCATTCATTTTTATGCATTTTTACACATAACTGCATTTACCCTTCTTGATAAGTGACTGAGTTCTTTCTGGACAAGTGGAACTAAGATGATACATCTAAGTGGGTGGGCACAGAAGCCAAGAGAGTTTTTGGTTACTCTTTTTAAATGTTTATTATATTTTTCAATGCACAAAAATCTATTTTCTCTCCTTCTCACCTTCCTCCCACCTCAATGAAAAAGAGAGAAAAATAAAACCCTTGTAACAAAAGTGCATAGTTATGAGTTATTTTCAACAATGAACCTATTTTCTTGGACTTTAAATACAAGGCCCCAGGAGCATTAGGGAAGTCTAAGGGCTGAGCATGTTCAGTTAGTAATGAGCCAACTGCTATGGAATTGTTGTATTTGCACATGCCCAGATGAGAGAACTGGGATAGACTGAGCTTCAAGGGGCTTATACTCCAAGCAACTGTTTCAAGACATTCCCCTTAGGGCTAGCAACATCACCTCAGTGGGCCCCAGACTGCCCCAAGAATTGGCTACGAAAACCCTACCTAGCTCTTACAGAACTGTCAAAAGTAGAGTTCCCTGTCACTGGGGATGGCCCAGTACAGCAAGGATGCTCACTGTCAACCTGGGCCAGCCCATGACTCCTGGGCTACTTCTTGACCCTGCCCCAATTTGGAGACCTTTTCACCTGCCTCCCCTTTTCATGTCCCCATTAGAATGTAAGTTCATTGAGGGCAGGGACTGTCATTCATTTTGCTTGTATCTATATTTTCAGAGTTTAGCATAGGGCCTGGCATACAGCAAGCGCTTAATAAATACTCTATCAACTTGCTAGGGATGTCAGAGAGGGAGCTCTTGCTTTAGGTAGCTTCTGAGGTCCATGTTTATAGTGGACAGGCCGCCACAAAGGAGTTTTTACTGAGCCCCCTCTGTCCTTGCTGAAGGTGAAGTTGAGCCATGGATTGAAGGGAACCGAGGAAGCCAAGAAGTAAAGGTGAGGAGGGAGGATATTCCCTGTATGGTTAAGGAGTGTTCATTTTTGTTTTTGGAATCCTCCAAGAGGGTACTCCATCCTGGGTACAACCAGCTCCCCCCATCCCACCCATTGAGTGTCATGCCCCTAAAGCTTAGCTGATAGGCCCTGGCTTTCACTCCTAAACCCCCACAATGTTGTGGAGGGGTCTGATGAGGATCAGAAGGGCAGGGAGAGCCGGCTGTGCCCAGAGAATAGTCTTAGGGAGGGAATACTAGGTAGGGAGGAAGCACAGACACACACACACCCTGGAGGCAAAGCCCTGGTCACCAACACTAAGGCTCTGATCAATAGAACATAAGCCCCTTGAGGACAGACACTGTTCCATTGACTGGGCATACAGCAGGCACTTAATCGGTGCTTGTTGATCGACTGCTCAATCAACCATCTTCCCCTCCCCCTTGCCTGTAGTTACCGCGATCATTCTCAAGATGTTTTGGCAGGGGCTGACGGGGTTGTAGGGGCCCAGAAATCGCTTGTTGCTCTTGTATAGTTCAAGTTTATTGGTCTCCTCCTTATCTATGCTCTCTGGAAGAAGAGGGAGAGATGGAGCTTTCCTCCCAGATGGTGCCCCACACCCACCCCAGCTCACCTGGTCTACCCTCCATAGAAGCCTGGGCTAGGTCAGCCTCCTCGTGAAAACCCAGGCTACATCAACCTCATCTAGGGACTTGGGGTCCAGGAGCCCTGGGATCAGAATCATCCCTGCGGCCATCTTTCCTGGGAGCCTTTGAGATGCTGCCCAGGAGTGCAGAATTGAGAAGGGTCCTTAAAGATCTTATCTCTGGTTCAGAACTCTCATTTTACAGATGAGGAAACTGAGGTGGAGAAATTCCAGCTGCTAGGAAAAGGCAGAACTGGGCTCCATTAGACTGGGCATTCCTTTAGTGGATTCCTTTAGTAGGCTACACAGCCCTTGAGGACCCTGTCCACTTCTAGCTCTGATATTCTGTTTTATGAATTTTGTATTAAGGTCCCTTCCAACTTTAATGTTCTAGATTCTCTCATGGTGGGTTCTCTTCCCTTCCATCTCTGACATTCTATGTTCCAATGTCTACAAAGGCTCAAGGAGATCCTATATTCTCAGAGGAGTGCTAAGGACCTAATGCTATTTGTGGGAGACAGCAAGGTAGAGGTGGCTTCCTTGGACTCTGTCTCCATACCACCTCTCCCACCACATACTCTTCTGGAGCTCCAGGATGGTGTAAAGGATGATGACGCCATCCAGGGCTTCATGGCCGATCTCTTCATCTGGGTCACATATACGAAGAATGAGCCGTCCAAGCAGAAGACCAAACATGGGGAAGCCAAATATCGTCTGCTGGACAGGATCACAGAGCACAGAGTTAGGTCTCAGACACCATCGAGTTTAATATGCCCATTTTACAGATGAAGAAGCAGAGGATGAGAGAAGCTCAGGGACTTGGCCAGAGTTACAGAGCTCACAAAGGTCAGAGGCAGTATCTGAAACCAGGGCTTCCTGTCCAGGCTGCCTCACTCAGTTAATTATAAATGCTTATCGATATTGACTCATCTTCCCGAGTTCAAATCTGGCCTCAGACACTTACTAGCTTTGTGACCCTGGGCAAGTCACTTAACTCTGTTTGCTTCAGTTTCCTCATCTAGAAAATGAGCTTGAGAAGGAAATGGACACAACTGAAATCACTAAACAACAACAAAAATGCTTATTCCATTTATTCAGCCAGCCAGTCAAACTGACCTGATCTCTGTGTTAGGCATACACCCTATGCTTTCTCAGCTCCTCGCTTGCTCATGCCTTAAGGATGAAATTCTTCCTTTCCTTTTTTTGCATATTGCATTTCAACCTGTCCATTAAGGCCCACCTGAGGTGCCATCTCTTCCTGGATGCCAACTCTCATTCTCCCACTTTGGGGTATACTATAGAATGACCTTGTCCTCTGACCTCCCCTACTGTTCTGTGCTTCTCTGCTATACTAACTAGGCACTATTTATTTATGTAGGTGTCTTCTTTCCTCCTGCAGGACTGTATGCTCCATGAGGGCAGGGATAATAGTTCCTATCTTTCCACCACGGCTAATGGTGCACTACTCAGTACACAGTCAACCCTTTCTAAACAAATGGATGTTGAACTGATTAGAATTGACACAGATACAGGTACGTGTACATGGAGACAGTGTGAGACCTCAGGAAGCTTCAATTCTATTTCTGGTCAATTCCCCTCTGTGGGCCTCAGCTTTCTTCCCTATCACAAGTCAGAATTAGGATAGATAATCTCTTCCAGCTCTTCCAGTCTCTTCCAGCTCTAACATCCCAAATACATACACACACACACACACATACACACAAATAATACCCTCAGACACCCAGCAGACATACTCAGAAATAAGCAGACATGCATGGATGCTAATGGAGATAACACAGACCCTCCTGTGAGGCAGGTACCCACAAAATAGCGCCCTTGGTTGTGCTCGAAGGTCAGCTGTCCCTTCGGCTGCGTAGAGATGCTCGAGACCTGTTCTACGAAGCTGGTGAAGAAAAGCTGGGTCTGGAGTGTGCAGTTCAGTAAGAAGACATTGCTGTTGACCGCTCGGGCTCTCTCATGGGCCTTTGCAGATGTCATCCAGGGTCCCAGGGGCTGTGGGAAGAAGGACTTGTCTGTGGCAGCTAAGGCAAGTGGGTCAAGAGCCTTAGCCTTGTGTCCCTCCTCTGCTTCTAACTCAGTGTGTAACATCAGACTGGCTTCCCCTCTCTGGGTTTCGTGTCCCCTTTGTCAGGTGAGGCCATGGGGTGGAGGACCCTCAAAGTCTTTGTTTCTTAGTCTTTGTTTCTGTGGCTGCTAGGCAGGGCTCTCTCAGCTAGTGGCCAGGGGCTGTTAGGGGCTAGAAAGGAACTTAGGATGTAGAATGTTAGAGCAGGAAGAAGTCCTAAAATGCAGAGTGTTAAAGCATAGAACATCAAATGATAGAGCTAGAAAGAACCTTAGCATGTAGAATGCATAAAATGTACATTAGAACAGACAACGTTAGAGCTGGAAGGAACTTGGGGACCCAGAGTTAGAAAGAATCTTAGGGCATAGAATGTATGAAATGTACATTAGAACATAAATGTCAGAGCTGAAAGGGAACTAGAACACAGACTATCAAGGTTGGGAGGGAAGCTAGAACATAAAATAACAGGGTGGGGAGGGAACTTAAAACATAGCATGTCAGAGCTGGGAGAGGACTCAGAACAGAGATTGTGATAACTGGGGAGCACCTTAGAATCTAGAATGTGAGAGCTTGTAGGGACCTTAGATCATGGAATGTCAAAGCTTGGAGAGGTCTTAGAACACGGAGTGTTAGAGTTGGATTTGAACATAGAACAAAGAATGTTAGTGCTAGAAAAGATCTGAGAGCAAAGGGTGTATAGAATTATACTAGAATACAGAGCACAGAATGCTAGAGCTAAAAGGACCTTAGAATATAAAATGCATGGACTGCACTTTGGTACAGACAATACTGGGGTGAGAAGAACCTTGGGACACATTGTCTAAGCTAGAAAGAGATATGGGGAAAGGAAGAGAAGTGGGACAGAGGAAGTAGGAAGAGATTAGGAAGAGGGAGTGAGTTTGGAGAGGGAGAAGGGATGATGGAAATATCAATGGTAGAAAATTCTTTTTCTGATACCTAAACCAGGAAGAGTCAAAACAGAGAAAGAAAATTATAGAGCAATTTCTCTAATGAATATAGATGCAAAATTTTTAAACAAAATATTAGCAAATAGATTACAGCAACTTATCACATGAATAATACACTATGACGAGGTAGGATTTATACCAGGAATGCAGGGCTGGTTCAATATAAGGAAAACTATCAGCATAATTCATCATATCAACACCAAAACTAACAGAAACCATATGATCATCTCAATAGATGAAGAAAAAGCTTTTGACAAAATACATCACCCATTCCTATTAAAAACACTAGAGAGCATAGGTATAAATGGACTCTTCCTTAAAATAATAAATAGCATCTATCTAAAACCTTCAGCAAGCATAATATGTAATGGGATCAAGCTAGAAGCATTTCCAATAAGATCAGGGGTGAAACAAGGATGTCCATTATCACCACTGTTGTTCAATATTGTACTGGAAATGTTAGCTTTAGCAATAAGAGAAGAAAAAGACATTGAAGGCATTAGAATAAGCAAAGAAGAAACAAAGCTATCACTCTTTGCAGATGACATGATGTTATACTTAGAGAATCCCAGAGAATCAAGTAAAAAACTAATTGAAATAATAAACAACTTTAGCAAAGTTGCAGGCTATAAAATAAACCCATAAATCATTGGCATCTATATATTACCAACAAAGCCCAACAGCAAGAGATAGAAAGAGAAATTCCATTTAAACTTACTGTAGACATTATAAAATATTTAGGAGTCTACCTCCCGAAACAAACCCAGGAACTCTATGAACACAATTACACAACACTTGTCACGCAAATAAAATCAGATCTAAATAATTGGAAAAACATCAGTTGCTTGTGGGTAAGCCGAGCTAATATAATAAAAATGACAATTCTACCTAAGCTAATTTACTTATTCAGTGCCATACCAATCAAACTACCAAAAAGCTATTTTATAGAGTTAGAAAAAATAATAACAAGATTCATTTGGAAGAACAAAAGGTCCAGAATATCAAGAGAACTAATGAAAAGAAATGCATGGGAAGGTGGCCTAGCCATTCCAGTTCTTAAATTGTATTGTAAAGCAGCAATCATCAAAACTGCTTGGTACTGGCTAAGAAATAGAGGGGTGGATCAATGGAATAGGTTAAATATGCAAGACACAGTAGTCAATGACTATAGTAATTTATTATTTGATAAACCCAAAGACCCCAGCTTCTGGGATAAGCACCCACTCTTTGAAAAAAAAACTGCTGGGAAAACTGGAAAAGAGTATGGTAGAAACTAGGCATAGACCAAAATCTCACACCATATACCAAAATAAAGTCAAAATGGGTTCATGATTTAGATACAAAGGCTGATACTATAAGCAAACTGGGAGAGCAAGGAATAGTTTACCTGTCAGATCTATAGAAAACAGAAGAATTCATGACCAAACAGGAGACAGAGAACATTATGAAAAGCAAAATAGATAATTTTGATTACATTAAATTGAAAAGTTTTTGCACAAAGCCAATGTGGCTAAGATTAGAAGGAAGGTAGAAAATTGGGAAAGAATTTTTACAACCAGTCTCTCTGATAAGGGCCTCATTTCTAAAATATATAGAGAATTAAGTCAAATTTATAAGAATACAAACCATTCCCCAATTGATAAATGGTCAAAGGATATGAACAGACAGTTCTCAGATGAAGAAATTAAAGCCATCTATAGTCATACGAAAAAATGCTCTAAATCACTATTGATTAGAGAAATGCAAATCAAAACAACTCTGAGGTACCACATCATACCTATCAGAATGGCCAATATGACAAAACAGGAAAATGATAAATGTTGGAGAAGATGTGGGAAAATTGGAACACTAATGCATTGTTGGTGGAGTTGTGAAATGATCCAACCATTTTGGAGAACAATTTGGAACTATGCCCAAAGGGCTATAAAAATGTACATACCCTTCGACCCAGCAATAGCACTACTAGGGCTATATCCCAAAGAAATCACACAAACGGGAAAAGGACCTACATGTGCAAAAATATTCATAGCAGCTCTTTTTGTGGTGCCAAAGAATTGGAAATTGAGAGGATGCCCATCAATTGGGGAATGGCAGAGCAAGTTGTGGTATATGAATGTGATGGAATACTATTGTGCTATAAGAAATGATGAACAGGCTGACTTCAGAAAAACCTGGAAACACTTGTATGTGTCTGATGCTGAGTGAAGTGAGCAGAACCAAGAGAACGTTGTACACAATAACAGCTACGTTGCATGATGACTAATATTGATAAACTTAACCCTTCCTGGCAATACAAGGATCTAAGACATCTCCAGAGGCCTTGTGATGGAAAATGCTATCCACATCCAAAGAAAGAACTATGGAAGCCGAATTGCTAATTTTCTTCTCCTCTGTTGAGTTTTGTTTCCTCTTTCTGATGGTTCCTCCTATTGGTTTTAATTTCTACTTACAACATCACTAATGTGAAAATATGTTTAATATGAATGTAAACGTATAGTCTATATCAGATTATGTGCCATCTTGGGGAGGGTGGTGGGGAGGAAGGGGGATAAAAATTTTGAACTCAAAAGCATATGGAAGTGATTATTGATAAATCAAAATAAATTAATAAAAAAAGAAATATCAATGGTAGAAACAGAGATTGAGGCAATGGAGATGGTGAGGGACAGAGAGGAAATAACAAGAATGGAAAGGGACAGGAATAGGGAAGTGAGGGTGGAAAGAAAGAGCAAATATGATTTAATAGGAACACGACCTATTCTGCCTCCTAGTTGCAAAGTGTGACTCTGGCAAGCTTTTTCCATTCTCTGGGCCTTAGCTGCTTCATCTGTAAAATGGGCACCATTATCCCTAACCTGTCCATTTCATAAGGCCATTATGGAGAATGAGATGGTCATTTTAAAAGCCTCTGTAAGTTATTAAGCCCAACATCTTGGGCATATGTTGGCAAGGGACAAGGAGCTGGACCCAGACTTGAAGAGGAGGAGAAGCGTGGACTGGATCACAGGATCACAGATCTCCCATTGGTGGATTCCTTCCTGGGCCTCCATTTTGGGCCTAGTATATTCATGAACTATGTGCCTTTTGGCTGTGCTTCTGATTCTATTGACCACCACCAGGTGGGTACCTCCTTTTCCCTTCCCCTTTATGCATGGTCTTCCCCCATCAGAATCTAAGCTTCTTGAGTGCGGGGACCCTTTTTCTTTTTGCTTGAATTTCTACCCAATATTTAGTGCAGTGCCGGGCAAAAAGCAGGTGTTTAATAAACGCTTAGTGTCTTGCCTGCCTGCCTAGTGCTAGAAGGAGGGTCAGAGCTCATCTAGTTCCTCCTCCTCATTTTACAGATGCAGAAACTTAATCAGAGAGGTTGAGTAATTTGTCAAAGGTTGCACAAGTAGTAAGTGGCTGAGTCTGGATTTGAATCCAGCCTCTGATTTCAAATCTAGCACCCTTTCCACCATCCCACTCTGTACCATTCCTTCAATAGGTCCCAAGCTACTCCCTGACACCAAAGTCCATCTTTGGGGTATCAATATTCCCTTAGTGATGTTATGTGGTATAAATAATGAAACATTATCACCTTAGAAGAAGCATAGATTGGAAGGGATCTTGGAGGTCAAGATTTATTATTTGACTTGTCCAAGGTCCCACAGATAAGTGAGTAGAAAAGTTGGTATTTCAACACGGGGCTCTCTGACTCCAAATCCATGACTTTCCCACAGTAGGACTGGGTGAAAGGGAGAATGATGGGTATAGGGCTGGGAATGGGAATGAGAATGGGGATGTGGATGGGGAAGGGGGTAGGGTAACAGAGATGGGTAAGAAGGAAGGAGAGAAGGAAGAGATGGAAGAAAAGGGCAAGGAGTTGAGAATAAAAGAGAAAGGGTGGGGAAGAGGTTGGAGGGGCAGGAGGAAGAAGGGGTCATTTCTGATGACATTGAGACTTTGCAATGTTGCTCATTTCTCCAGCCCCACCCCTACCTCCCAAATCACATTCCCAGACCTGTTTCCACAAGCACTTCTCTCTGGTCCTTCCATTGCCTCTAAAGCATCCTATGTCAGATCCAGAGCCTCCTTGAGCCCCCCTGCTCACCTCCAAAAGGCTAGTTAGGCCAGCTGGGCTAGGATCTTCTAAGAAGAGAGAGCTCAGCAATGTCTGAAGGGCATCCAGTGTCTGAGAATACAACATCTGAGGAAGGAGAAAAGAAAAGAAGGGAGGTGGTTATGAGTTTTGGAGAGTGGTGAGGGGAACTCCCACAAACATGCGCCATTTTCAGGGTAGGGGATTGAGGAATTGCCTTTTATCCCTCTCTATGAGTCAAAGGGAAGAGAGTCATAAAATCTCACAGGTGGAATGCCTTCTAAGGTCAGTCAATCAGTCAATTAATAAGTAATTATTAAGCACCTACTGTGTTAAGCTCTAGGGATACAAAAGAAAGACAAAATAAGCAACAATAACAAAATGCAGTCCCTACCTTCAAGGAGCTCACAGTGTAACAGGGGAGAAAACATGCAAACAAAAAAGCCATAAGCAGGATAAATTCGAGAGAAGGCATTGGCATTGAGGGGGGATTAGGAAAAACTTCTTACAAAAGGTAGGACTTTAACTTAAACTTGAAAGAAGCCCTAGAGGCCAGGAGGAAGAGATGAGGAAGGGGAGAAACCCAGGAAGGAGGGCCAGTCAGTGAAAATGTCCAGAGGCTGGAAATGGAGACTCATTTAAGGAACAACATGGCGGCCAATGTCACTGGATCACAGGATGTAGGTAGGGAAGGGTGTAGTCGTGCAAGGGTCTGCAGACTAGAAAGGTAGGAGGGAGCCAGTTTATAAAGGACTTTAAAAGCCAAACAGAAGATTTCCTATCTGATCCTGGAGACACTAGGGAACCATTATAGTTTGTTGACTAAAGGAATGACTTGCCCATCTAAGGGCGCTTTGGCAAGAAGACTTTGCTTGCTGAGTGGAAGATGGACTAGAGTGGAGTGGGGAGAGACTTGAGGCAGGGAGACCACCAGAGGCTATTGCAGTAGTCCAGGCATGAGGTGATGAGGTCCTCCATCAGGGTGCCAGTACGAGAAAAGAAACTGGGGTATATTCAAGAGGCAGGATATGACAACTGATTGGATATGGGGGTCAGAGCCTAGGTGACTAAAATGGTGGCACCCAACAGTAAAAGAGAAATTTAGAAGCAGGGAAGGTTTGGTGGGAAAGGTTTAGAGTCAAGTTTTGGACACGTTGACTTTAAGTTGTCTGTGGAACTTCCAGCTGAGTAATTAACATCCAGTTTAGTAAATAGACATTAATGATATCTAACAGGCAGTTGGAGATGTGAGTTCCTTGAGGCCAGAAACTGTATTTTTACCAATCCCTAGTTCTTAGCTCACTGTCTAGCTTATACTAGGTGCTTAGTGAATGCTTACTATCAATCAGTCCACATGCTTTTATTAAGCACATGCCAAGCAGTGTGCTAGAGATATAAAAAGAAAGGGAATAAAAATACCAGCAAAAATAAAGACAGTCCCTGCCCTCAGGGAGCTTACATTCTTTTTTTTGTTGTTGTTAAGGCAATTGGGGTTAAGTGACTTGCCCAGAGTCACACAGCTAGTAAGTGTCAAGTGTTTGGTCTGAGGCCAGATTTGAACTCAGGTCCTTCTAACTTCAGCACTGGTGCTTGATCCACTGTGCCACCTAGCTGCCTCAGGGAGCTTACATTCTAATGGAGAAGACAAAGCATAAAGAAAAGCTTAAAGGGGGGGAGGGAAAATACCCAGTGTGGGGGCATGATGGAAAAATTCAGAAGAGTGTAGTCTGGTGGGATGTTAAAGAGGGCTGGCCCAGATGCCCTCCTTAAATGGAGGTTCTGGAAGGAGCCTTCCACATCCAGTCAGAAGCAGGGGCCCAGGGACAGACAGTACTTCTGAGGTGTGAGTTCCAGGACAGATTGACTTTTCAGGATAACTGGCTAGCTGACTGACTTGCAGGAGAGACTGTAGGTTGGTAAATCCTTCTCTAGGCTCAAAGTAATATACGGCATCCTCTTCTTATGTTGAATGAACAAAGGGAAAAGGGAGATGAATGATGTATACAATATTCCCATCAGTTCTTTTAACACAATTGGTCAGGCCAGCCAGGCACAGTATAATAACAATTAACGCCATCACTGGTTGGCTAGGTATTGATAGCTTAACCAGACAGTCAGTGACATTTGGGGAAGATGAGGAGGAAACACCTTTTCTCCCTTCATGATCATTGGCTCTCTCACTGTCTTTTAACACAAAATTCCCTCTAAAGGGCTACTTCTACCATTAGAGCCTCATTTCTTTGGCTTTAGAGAGATGTTAATACCAGGAGAAGGGATTTGGATGGCTAGCTATGGAAGAAGTGGGATAAGGGGGCCTGGGAAGAGGGAAAGGGGCACTGAAAGGAAGTGGGAAGCTGCCAAAGACCACTCTCCCATCTTCACATGCCCTCACTCTGGGCCCCACCTCAGCTGGATAGAAACCATTATGTCTATGGAGACATTAAGTCTATGGAGACCATTAAGTACAGCTAGCAAGAGGATTACCTCCATCTTCCTGCAGTACTAAAAAATCCCACCTCAAGATGAGACCATGTAAAGCAAACCAGCCACAAAAGAAACAAAAAAGACCTGGGTTCAAGTCTTTCCTCTAACACATCCAGGCTGAGTGAGCCTGGTGTCTCTCTAGGACTATAGGTTGCAGTGAAGATGATGGCCTTCATTAGGAAAGAGAGTTTCTTACACCAAAGAAATCACAGATCTGTCCAGATTAATGCAACAGGAAATAGAGGGTATAAACAATCCTATTTTAGGAAAAGAAATTTAACAAAGCCACAAAGGAATTCTGAAAGGGAAAAAAATCCCACTGGACCAGATGGATTTACAAGAATATTCTACTGAACATTTAAAGAACAATTAATTCCAATTCTATGGAAAATGTTTGCCAAAAATAAAATAAAAGGTAACAGATGGGTCCTACCAAATTCCTTCTATGACACAAATACGATTTTAATACCTAAACCAGAAAGAGTCAACCCAATATCCTTATTGATGCAAAAAATTTAAATAAAATATTAGCAAGGAGACCACAGCACAACTGTGGCTAGTCTGGATTTATACTAGGAATGCCAGTTTTATAGAAAACTATAGATATACTTGACCATATTAATAACAAAAACAGCAAAAATCACATGGTTCTGTCAAGAGATGAAGAAAAGACTTATGATAATATACGGTACCTATTTGAAAAAAAATTATAAAGTATAGGAATAAATGATGCTTTTTACAAAATGATAATGTATTTATTTAAAACCAAGAGCCACCATGATCTGTAATGGAGATAAACTAGAAGCCTTCCCAATAAAATCAGTGGCAAAGCAAGGATATCCATTATCAACATTACTATTCAATATAGTTGCTAGAAATGCTAATTATAGCAATCAGATAAGCAAAAATAAATTGAAGGAATAAGCACAGACAAAGAGGAAACAAAATTATTCCTTTTTGCATATTATATGATAGTTTACTTAGAGAACTTTAGAGAGTCAACTAAAGAACTAACTAAAATAATTTATCACTTCAGCAAAGTTGCAGGATATAAAATAAAATCAGACAAATCATTAACATTTCTTTATATTACCAACAAAATCCAGTACGAATACATAGGAAGACAAATAATATTTAAATATTACAGACAGTATAAAAAATTGGGGTCAACTAGGTGGTGCAGTGGATAAAGTGCTGACCCTGGAGTCAGGAAGATCTGAGTTCAAATCTGGCCTCAGACACTTACTACCTGTGGGACCCTGGGCAAATCACTTAACCCTGTTTGCCTCAGTTTCCTCATCTGTAAAATGAGCCAGAGAAGGAAATGGAAAACCACTCCAGTATCTTTGCCCAAAAAACCCCAAATGGAGGCACAAAGAGTTGGACATGATTAAAAAGATTGAATAACACAACATTTGGGAATCCACCTGCCAAAACACTGTGGGTAAAATTGTTGATGCTGGAACAAACCAGAACCAAGACCAAAAATTTAGGAACCCACAAGGGTTTACTGAGTTTGCCAGCAAGGAAGCCCCATCTGCACCAGTAAAGACTCCCTAAAGGAACAAAAGGACAAAGTTTATATAGGTTTGGATTTAGACAGGAGGTGAATTGGGTATGGGGTACCTCAAAGTTGGACAAAACTTGTTGCTGAGACTAGTAATAGGAAAGGTTCTTCTTCAGATTAGCTCTCTCCTATAACCCGTACCCCCAAAAGATAGGACTGTCCTTGCTGTTTTAGTAGTAGGACGGTCTCAGACATGGCAGGTGTTGCAATACAAACAGAGTCATGGGCAAGATAGAGGAACTGCAGACAATATAGAGTTGCTTTAGCTTTATTGGTTACCCACAACCCCCCACCCCTTGAGACAATTGATAGTTTCACAATTTTTTTAAACAATTCCCAAATCAGTATCAGTCCAAGCAGAAATGATAAGCAGCTTACAGAATAGGTAACAGGTCCATAATACATGCAGAACTAATAAAACAAGCAAAATTACAATAGGGTGAATAATAACATCTAAAATAGTTGTAGCTTTTAAGGGTGTCAAGTTCTTTGACAGTGTCCATAATCTTCAGGGATCTGACAAGCACCTCCTGTGTATCTTTCAAGAATCTGTGGATGGATCAGGGCAGATTTGTGGAGCTATTTTCTTGACCATCTCCAAGTTCCTGGTCACTTGTAAAGATTCTCTAGGTAAGTCTGTTAAAGCCTGTTACTGATAGTGATAAGACTTAGTATAATTTAGCAAAACCCAACAAAATACAATCAGATTGACTTTCTAGTAATTCGTTCATGTGGTGAAAACCAGTTCAGACTTTATGGAGCTAACCTTATAAGTAACAGAGTTCTAGGAAGAACATCAAAGCAGACTACACAGTAAGGTACCTTATACTTGTACATTATACTTACATCTTATTATAGCAATTCAGAGGTGCTAGGGTATTGCAACAACAAGATTCATATATTTATATATGTGTGTGTGTGTGTATGTATATGTGTATATATATTAACAGTTTTACCTACTATGGCTAGAGAGATTTGCTACAAATGGAAAAAGGAGGAGCATAATTGTAACACCAAAACTGTTCTTCTAGGCTTAAAGTCACAGAATGATTTCACA